GCATTGATTTTAGAGTCACGATCGTTTCACTTAACTTTTACGAACTTTGACCTTTGATCTATGTATTTTTAAGAAATTTCTCTTAACCGAGAAAATGTGTCAATACTTCAGATTTTTTAGACTGTCTCTTTTTGTCATCTCGATGTTGCATATAAAGAGAGGTTTGCGTGTTTCTCATGGATTTCTCATTCGATCATCTGGAAAAACCGGACGCGGATGATCGTAGCTGGTTAGGTCTTTTTTCACAGGATGTAGTTTTCATGCGGACAGCTTAAAAATAGTTGTTAGCTTCGCTGACTGACAGAAGTGAGCTCGACACAGTGACGAAGCAGATCCAACCACGATATCCTGGGTAGATATAACTCCTCGTGGCCTAGGCCTGCTTGCCTGGTTGCCTGGTTGCTTCGTTGCCTTACCTCCAAGTCAGCATTGCGCCAGCATACCATCTTTGGGCTCGGCTTATCTCCTATCGAGACAATCCTTGTGGCAAGGCATGTCGTGTGCATACCTCCATACATTCCATTGTGTTTCCTCATAATTACATACAAAGGGACATCGCTTCTTCTTGATGCTGACCCATCACGTGGGAAATCTAATCTTCTATGGTCCCTGTACGATTTCTATTGGACATTTTTAGGATTTCATCTTTTTCGGGGTAAATCCATTGAAACTTAACAAGCATCCTTTTCTATAAGGGGTTTACTTTTTTTATTTCCCGATTATCGATAATTATCGCTTTCTTAAATGTAAATCGAAGAGTTTAACATTCATTTGTAAAGTTTCTAGAGTGGCAACAATCGCAATTTTGCTTGACATACTACTGTATATTTGAATTCTTTAACGTCAAAATCAAATAACTTCGAGTATAATAAATTTCTGGCCGCTTATGGAAATACCGAAAAGGGAGGATAGACGAAATGAAGGCATTAGGGGTGAGTGACGCGCTGACGTAGCTTAGGTACCCTCTTCTCTCCCTCACCAACAATCTATCCTTCGTTCTCCATTGGAAACATCCCGTATTCTTTCTCTCTCTCTCTCTCTGTCCCTCTCAACCCTCTTCCCCTCGCTTTCAGAGGTCTCTCTAGAACGAGCGGAGTAGGTCCCCACTGTCAAATCGTTCGACGAAGGTAATCCCAGCGAGATCCGTTCGGGCAGGACAACCCTGTAGAGTCCGTAGTCTGGCCATGAGCCACGAAGCACGAGCAGCACGAGAGAATCCAGAACCGGCGGAGCCAGCAACCCCCCAGGAGAAGCGCGTGATGACGAGGCGCGATCTCTGGTGGCTCCCACGCCCCCAACGCCCCGCTCGTTAGCCAGAGTCAGCAGCGGACGTCATCGACGTGTCATTGGGAACCGAGATCCCTAGTTTCAGTCCCGACTCCGTGCACGCCCACTGACATCGACCTGACGCAGCATGCGACGAAACGACGCTTGCAAATTATCGGTGCTCGATGACGCGCCCCAACCATTCGACAATAATTGCCGCGAAATTCTCGAATTCTCTGAATTGTGTCTCGTTTCGTGGAAATGTCATCGGAGAGACATAGGGTGAATGGGATGTCAGTGGCAACGAAGATGAAGAAAGTGCCTAGCTCTGATGATCATCAGGTACACTTGGAGAACGTAAATACTCGTTTGAGAATAGAGGCAGTTGTGTCCTCGTCGAATGGTTGCGGATCGTCATCTAATTAAAGTTTATATCCATCGCAGAGGGGTAGGTAGAAGACTCTTCCGGGTACGCAGCAGTTTCCGGTTATCGAGGCTAGCACCAGGAGGGAAGCGCACCGCGAAGGGGTCGTCTCCAGGCAATCGGGCTAAACTACGGACTCATTTACACACTTAGCCCTGCTTCCGCCTCGCTCGTTCCCACCCCGAGCGACGAGACCCAAATGGTTTTCATATTGTCTTTTTACCGCTCATTTTCATTTTATCGCTTGTTTGGCCGCTCGAACCCCCTGAATGGGTTAATTCTCTTCCTCTCGAGATACGCCTTGATTTCTTCAGTCGCTCGACTCTTGCGAAAACGGGGGATGAGCACAAAGATTTATACCAGAGACTTATATATTCTTCTATGGTGCCTCCTACTTGCTTAACCGCTTTGTATATGGTTCAGAGTTAAATCTATGCAAGAAGTCGAAAATTATGTATGTTTTTTTTTATAATAATAATTCTGCGACTGTTCGATAAAATTTCAAAAATTTACTTTCTTCGTGCAATAAAGAAAAATGACTTCGTATTCTATTTAAAATATTTGATATATTACATACGTGAAACAGTATCATATACATTCCTCATACGTAATATTTATATGCGTGATTGTCTTATCGTCTCTGTAACAATCTTTTAAATACTTGTCAAAGCATGAATTATATTCCAGATTTGAAAGTTAGTTCACCAAGTTTTACGTACTTTCCGTATAAAAGACGATTGTCAATGCGTAATTTTCCACAATGGTTAGACGAAGTAGGAACAAGAGTGGAAGTGGAAAGGCATTGAGGTTGCAAGAGAGGGGTTGGTTGGCCCAGAGTGAGCGAGCCGCCTCTAGCACTTAAGACTATTGTTTTCAATGTAATTGGATAGCTCCCTGCCTCCCCTATCTCGTTTTCTCATCCCTTCTCTCTCTCTCTCTCTCTCTCTCTCTCTCTCTCTCTCTCTCTCCTCTCTCTCTCTCTCTCTCCCTGCCTCCCCTATCTCGTTTTCTCATCCCTTCTCTCTCTCTCTCTCTCTCTCTCTCTCTCTCTCTCTCTCTCTCCCCTCTCCCTCTCCCTCTCTCCCCAACAGTCTCGCATTGGTCATCTCTCTTACATCTATTCAGTAGAGGGAAGCAGGCAGTCGGGCAGCAAGGCAGTCCCTACGAAGCTTCAACAATTATCTTGATTGTTTTATGCATACATCAACAGTCTGATCCAGGAGACAATATTCTCCATTCCCTAATGCGGCCACCCCTGCTTTATCGTGACTTCCGCTACAAGTTCTCCACCCGATGCACCTGCTTCTAATTTATTACGTCAACCTAAACTCACCGGTCCTATCGAATCTGTTCTGTGCTCCTGGGTTACGCTTCAGCCATCGCTAATTTCCCCATGTACCCAGTACCCATATGTGTTCTCGCTATAGCGATCACCACTAGACGGAAATCTCTCGTGGATGCACCACCTAGACAATGCATCGGGCCGATTTAATTAGGATAAGAATTGCGCATGCTTCGATTGCCCTCGTCCTGAACACACAATGCCCCTGGCTGACTAGCTATATCCTATAACACATATACTATAAAGCTAGCCGACCAGCTAGCTGGTGGTGACTCCATGGCTCGTCTCCAAGAAACATGATATACCGGGGTGAGAGCTGCGACCGCTAACGTGGTTTCCAAAAATACCGCAGGCTTCGACAAAAAGTCCACGGGAATGTAATACCCGCGCCACGTGCTAATTATGTAAAAATATGATGCGGTTCCCACCCCATGTAACTCTGACACATGCATATTACCCACTGTGTACTCTGTGCTTGTACAACTTGGTCCCTGAACTTTTAACGTCCGACCAACATTTCGTTGCTACCTTTAACAATTTTTATATACTTCGGCATCATTTTCTTTTGGGAAATACAAGCTTCGTCCTTGAGTACCGACTGAAAGAGATGAACCGGAGAACGTATACAGTACTGCGTGACTTGCCTCGAATTCGCGGCTTACGAATCAGGTTTTACTATCAAGATTACCAGAAGCTATCTACTCGTCACAGTGTCATTTCTCACCCGGGTGCTGTAAAATCAGATAGTACCAACGTTCCAGCTTAGCCACCCTTGAGAAAACGGGTTTCCAGTCCTATGTTCGTTTATACCGTAAGACCCAAGATATATCCTGCTCTACGTGATGGTGTACAACATGCATGCGTGCATGCGTTTGGTATGTCCGCCTCTTCGGCGACTTAGCACGCACGTTCCTGATGCGTGGATTCTCTAGGAGCTCAGGACTAGCGTTTATCAGAGTGCACTACGTGTACAGGAAACAATTGGCTGCGTGAATTTTTCGCGAAGCAAAGATACTGCCCATTTTCTCAGAAGGTGATTATCCTGGCGTAGCACGTGACGTAAATGATCGCCCATGCAGCATTCAACCAGGAAGTTAGCGAAAGTGACTATAGGATCACGTTACCAACTCTCGTTATAAAAATTTCTTTCATTTTTATATTGTAACGCGTACCGGTTGAATCCTTCCTCGCGTAGGATTCATCTATTCGGGCAATGTACATTGGAGATTTGTAGCAAGGAAAAGAGTTTGTATACAAATACAGTATCAGATAGTATCGAAGCGTAGGACGTCAAAGGGTGAAGCGAATGAGGTATATAGGAAGATAGATATACGTATGAATAAAGAAAAAGAAAGAAAGAGAGAGAATAGTGGAAGATCGTTTGTCTGTAGAAACCGCAACGCATCTGCGCCGATGCATTTCGCGATAAAACGTGGACGGTGCACCGAACGGACGCTTTTTATCTTTTTTTTTGTCCTGGGTAATAAATAATATTTCGCAGGTGCGCTTCGGGGACACTGCGCTTGTAATGCGGGAACCATCACGTGCGCGGTTGTGCTCATACGCAGGTACATATACCGTCGTGCATACTTACTAAGGTGAAATACAGAAATTCTATCATTATGTGCCATTAGTCCATTAAGAATGGTCAGATTGTCGTACACAAAGCTATGCCTGCATCCGTACACGTAAGGACTGTTGATCTCCTGATTTTTCCTTTCATGTTTTTCGTCTCTTTTCCCCTACCTCAGTGCTTATATATATATCCGTGTTTTTCTTCTTTTTTTGACTTTTTACTTTATTTACATTACCTTGTTGATTTACGAACCGCGACCGGCGATGCACATCGGCCAATGGAATTGACGTCGCAATAAGTTTAGTTGAGAGCCGATCGCTTTCAAGCTACCTCGACGCTACGTTATACGAGCGCATTTCCCGGTATTTATCGGTATCCTGGTTTTGTTTCAGCATCCGTATCCTTCGGAGGACCAGAAAAAACAGTTGGCGCAGGACACGGGGCTGACGATTCTTCAAGTTAACAACTGGTGAGTTCCTACACCTTACTTTTCTATGCCTTTAGATGTACTCGCGGTTGCATGGGACATATGTATCTACTACGTACATAAGTATACATGACACGTGTTACTATCTTGTATATCTATATATTACGCCATACTGCATACGAGACAGTATGGACAGGAAAGGAATATTTGCCAATGACAAAAATCGATACGGGTCATTCAATAATAAGTATTTTTCGCTGTGAATAATGTTTATGGCGATTTTTACATCTAGCTACACGAGCGTCCGCCGGCCAATCATATTTCATGCATTTTCAGCCGGCAATTCCAAGAAGGAATAGCCTTTCTCGTCTCTCTGATAAACGAGAGAAAATTAATGGCCTCTCGCATGTTCCCGCGTTCCACGACTAATTCCTGCTCGTACGTTCCCCAGGTTTAACGTCGTGTCCGACGGCGTTTGTGTGTCTTTTATCGTAGATGAGTTTAACGGTGTAGGTATACAAGATACGCACGGGCGCTGCTTACATACTTATGTACGGAAGGGAATTTTCAGACGCTAAAATAGTTCGTGGTCTGTTTCCCTATAGTAACGAAAGAGGAGAAAAAAAAAGAAAAACATTGAGGGTGATGAGCCAATCTCATGACGTCAGTCGAGCACGGATCTCACATATGTAGCAGCACACGCGTAGCCTGTTTATCGCAAAGCACAACACAATTCGTGTGAATATATTCAATGTGATTTATGGTCACGTAGAATGGATTGATACTCTCAATTGGTTGGTCGTGAGTGTATCGCTACAATTTTATTAACCTATCGATTATCTTGGGGAATCTGCTGTCAAGTGAGATAGCGAATCTCAATGGGAGGTTTAAAAAATGCATTCGAAGGATGCAATCGAGGACGCGAAAATAATATCGTATTAAAAAGAAAACAGAGGAGAGGGAGGTACAGGGAGATAATGAGAAGGGGAGGATCGATTTAGAAAATTTCTTTAGCAGAAAATTCGCAAGCTGCTCGTCATGAATAACTCGGAGGCAGTAAGTCGGCACATAGTTTTCAGATAGCGCACGTAAATATTACTATTGCACTTTACGCAGGCTTAATCTCAGATCCCGGAGCGCCGCGAGGATTATTCGTGCTATTATGTAGCTACTTTACGATTTTCACATCTAGGCCGACACGGCGAAGCCGCGTCTCTCTCACAATATATCTATACCTACGCTTGCGTTTTATTGGCGAAACTTTACGCGCATCGTTAACGCACGTCAACTTGTATGCATATACTATACCTACTGTAGGAGACGCTTCCATCTCTACTACAGGTGCGATAGATAAATACGAAAATCCTTTAAATTTAGTTGCAAGAAAAGGCAGATATCGCATTACTAAAATATATTATTAATATATAGATGGTGGCATAGATGGGACAGATGATATGTATTTTCAATTGATACATAGATATAGCAGTTTCATTCGAAATATAAAAAAAAAAATATGTATCTAATAATACAGAAAATTTTAACCGTTTACGTATGAATATATGCATATAATAGGTCGATAAGGTCTAAGAGCATTGTTGAGAAAATGGACTTCCGGTCGGAAAAGGCCCCGTGTTACGTTAAGGAACGGGTCTTCCTGCTCATAACATGGACGCTAATTCCTTTAAATCCGGTTTTAGCGAGAAAGGGTTAAGATAGCGAAGGGCATCTTCGGGGCTTAGACTTGTCTTGTCGAGGGACTCTCTCCTACTGATCCAACAGGCTTCCGACTATCCCACCATCTTGATAGATGTTTTTGGCGTCACAGCTGCGCCACCATCCGAATTATTATCCCAACCGGGTCGCTTGTTTACCGTGAAAATTAAACGAAATCCTTGTACGTATAACCATCGCCGACCTACTCGTTCACTCCCTCCCCCATCTCTCCCCCTCAGCATCCCTTTTCCATCCCCCAACGTACGTATCTCGCGAACCACGAACTGTAACGCCAAGGCAAGGTGGGTACGGATAATCTCTTTGGCTAACTTTAGAAAGACGAGATCGAAATAATCCAGGTTAGTCATTGGCCAGGGTGAATCAGGCGAAACCGGTGAAGAGGCGTATCTGCTTTACTCGTGGACATTGCTCGGATATAAAATGCAAAATGAATTGCCAGATAACCCCGGACTCCACTCTCACGGTCCTCCCGAATGCGGCGAGGTTCGCATATAAATAAGACGAGGCTGCAGCACGTTGCGACGCCTCGCGTCGTCCTTCTCGCTGGTTTATAATAAGAGAATCAAGGAGGCCAGAGGGAAGAGTTAAAGGGTACGTTGTATATAGAGGATGTACGGTAATTGAGCACAAATCAAGTTTAAGGAGTACGCGTCGAGTTAGCATCTGCAGGATTCACAGATATACGTATTTTTGAACACGCGTAGATCTCCCGCACATTAGTAATTGTACGTGATTCAAAACTCAATTAAAACTAATATAATATTACATTCCCGAGTCAGGATGGCACGTGTATTATTTTTAAAATATTGTAAAATCCTACCAACAATTTTCATAACAGTTTCTACTCATCCTCCCCAATGCGCATATATGCACCGTATAACAATTTCTTGGTAGCAATAAGTTTCACGTAGACTCGCAAAATATTAAACGCACAGAGACTCATGTTTCCGTAATGCAATTAGAACCGTGGCGCTTGTGCAGCTTAGAAATGGCTCCCTCTAATTAGAATACCGGGGACAAATGAAATAATTTCTAAATAAAATAGTTATGTGGTCCACGCGTACCGCCCGCCCACTTTGCAGCGCTAGAAGGAAGTCTGGCTTCCTTGGTCTCCCTTCGTCCACAATTTTCCGTCACATATATCAACCTGGACAGTAGTTAGAAACGTTGCCAGCTTGTTACCGTGTACCCGTATATATTACCCCAGAAAATAGCGAACAGCGTCAAGCACGTGAACGCTGAGTCCGTTCAAGCGTTTACAGGAGACTGCGTTCAATGGAAACGGTACCAGAGTGACATTTATTGCTTTAAAAAGGATCATCTCTTGGCACCGATCTCGGTCCATTCGCAATTAACGATCATATTAGCTTAATGAAAATGCGTCACTATCCAATTGGGCGAGTTCATTAGAAATAGATAGCGAGCCATCGAGTTTCTTAGATACCTCCCTGTATTAACGGCAACCGAGTATAGTCGTACGTACATTCATATACGTATACACCCTCAAAACCACGAAGCAAGAGAGTAACGCAAGTCTGTACTAATATTCTTGCTAATTTAACCACTTTCTCCCCCTTCTATACTGTCCCGTTAATAAACCAGAGGTTATTTATTAGCTTCCACCACCACGCAGTCCACTGTACCACGCGCTGCGAGAGTCCCACGTTACAGTTGGCACTTACGCCGTTTATTTTCGTGTTCGAGAGTCACATGGCCTTAACTTCATTTTTCTTTGCCATCGAGCTACGTCACACGTCTCTACCGGTATTTACAGGGGCCGCCAAAATAATTTTGTTTTCTGGCCTCTGTCTTCGTAATGTCTTTTGGCATCCTGACATCCCTCGGAGACAGTTTGAGAGACGAGATGGAATTTCAATCGTGACTCTCGCTCTTTGGAATGACGGGCAAAGGTCCTTGGTTTTTTCTTGTTTTCCTTTCTTCAATTCTTTTATAATTTTTTCCCCTTCCATCCGCCCGCTTAACCACGAGCCATCTTACTCTTGCTCCTCATCCCTTAAGAACTTCTTCCTTTACGTCACATCTCATCGCGCTCTTACAGAATGCAACGTTAGGTACCTACGCGCCGTGCAATGCCGGGCGAGATCGTTAACATCATAACTGTACGTCCCGGCATAATTTAGACCGCTGTAAAACCGCGAACGGGACCCCTGTGCTCTACTGTAGCCAACTTGCTAACGAGACATTTCGTTTTACAAAATTGTACGGGGCTCAGGAGTCACGTGAATGGGGTTGTAAATCCCGCTACCGGATGTTAATATCCCCATTCGCAAATAACGTTATAGTGGCTACCTTCGCCGTGCGGATGTCACGGTTTTAAGGCAACGATCGTTAACCGTCACTCAAATTGCTGGGGATGCTTCACGGGAACGTATTCTTACGACCAACCGATATCTACTTCGTCTTTTTTTTCTCTCTCTAAACATACAATTCATTCATACCGATAATTATTAGACGACTCCATTCAAATTTCATTAGCGAGTATACCTATATTAGTTATATTACGGGTATGACGTCGTTTTGTTTCTTGGATGTAAGTTAACAATGAATCTAAATTTTATATATATCTATATAATTTAAACCTTTTTTTAAGTTAAAGTTTCATTAACATTCCTAGATTCGTCGGTATAACATTGCCCCTCAAGATTCGAGACTTCTGCTCTAATTTATCCGACTGAAAATTAGTCAATTTATGGGCGAACGATTCGTCTGCTAATTGGGAAATTGTCGTATCTGTTCCATCTACAAATAGTCAACGTCCGCATGGAACGGTAGAGAACGACGTCACGACGTCCAGGCTCTCGCATCGGCTCGTTTGCCGAGCAGGTGAGAAAGGTGGCCGTAAGTCAACCGGCATTACAAAGTAGTCACCATATAGGTACCGTATACTCCTATCGCGTCACTCCATCACTCTAGACTACCTTCAGGGTGACACCTTTTAAGTTGTTTCGGTACCACTAGAATTTTCTCAAAAATTCATTGATCGTTAGTTCTATCCGAACGATCAGTATAAATCTTACCAAGTATACTGTGTGATCCGTACCAGAGTATACAGCAAGAATCTATATTGGATTTAGGAACTTTCTTGAACCTCTCACGAGGCACGGTGTCTTTACACATGAAAGTTAATATATCTTTTATAGGTTATTAAGTATACATGAGATCAGGTCGTTTCGTTTCCCAGTTTAGCCATTTTCAGACTCGTTCCTTAAGGTTGAGAAGCGCGCGTTATTTCAGTCGACCTCGGCTTATTGGGTACCTCCGTCAAACAATCTCATTTAGCCCCCTGC